CGTAAATTGTCCTATATTGGGTTTGCTTTGTATTTAAACAGTATAAAACATTAACTTACCCATAATGACCTGATTCTCCTTTTAATGTGTTGCTTTTAAACTTCTGTGAACCGCAGCCAAGAGACGTCACAGTACTTGTCATCTGCAGTACAGATACAGCCCTGCAGTATAATAAGTTGTAAAGTACTTGTCATCTGCAGTACAGATACAGCCCTGCAGTACAATAAGGTGTAACGCACTTGTCATCTGCAGTACAGATACAGCCCTGCAGTACAATAAGGTGTACATTACTTGTCATCTGAAGTACAGATACAGCCCTGCAGTACAATAAGGTGTACAGTACTTGTCATCTGCAGTAAAGATACAGCCCTGCAGTACAATAATGTGTACAGTACTTATCATCTGCAGTACAGATACAGCCCTGCAGTACAATAAGGTGTACAGTAAATGACAGATTACACCGACAATCGACATCGAAGAAAAATGTTAGGTTAACGTAACAAATGTACAAATTCTTCAGATCTTTTAAATAAATTTTCTAAAAGGAAATCCCTGCAAAAAAATAGACTTGGACACTGTTTTAAATGTTGGTTTACTATAAATGCGGAAGTATTCGGAAATATTCTAATTTCTATCCGATTTTTCTGAAACTCAATTTCAACCTTTCTCCGAGGACTCTAAAGATGTCACGAGAACCCGGATTCTTGCTGGTCTTGCTGCTACTTCATAGACTCATCGGATAGAAATTAGAGTTTTATTAAGATTCATCTATTTTCAAACTCTGTGGTTTTCTTAACTCTGTGGTTGAGTGATGGTGTAAAATATACCCGCCTAGGGACTATTTACATCTACAGGGCTACAGGGCTACAGCTATTGATACAGGAATACAGGGCTACAGAGCTACAGGGATACAGGGCTACAGGGCTACAGGGCTACAGGGCTACAGGGCTACAGGGCTACAGGGCTACATAATTAGCAACAATCCGTAGTTTTAATAGTTTCAAGAGGATTGCCATGAAAAATAGCATAAAACTGCAAAAATTGCAAAAAAAAACTTTTTGCAATCTTTGCTTAAAAACGACAATATTTAAAACTTTATTGCAATTACTTTCAGGAAATTGGATAGAAATCTTAAAGGGGGTATAGGCTGAAAGCTAATCACTTTAGCTCTTAATCGTGACCCATGAGTTATATCTGATGTTCCTGTTCCCTTTAAGGACACAGAGAATGACGAAGACAATAGATTTACCTTCTTGAGTTTTCAAATGTCGTCGTCATCCAGACTTATTCGTGATTACGACTGATTTTGAACTACGTATATATGCTTGCCAGCCTTTCAGATTTTCATTTTACGGATAGAATATTTCTGGCGTTTCACAAATCAATATGCATTGCCTTACATAGAAAATAGCGAACAATCTCTTACAGTAAGGAAAATGTACATCGTTAATTTTAGAAATAGCTTTCTAAATTCTCTACTAAACATAATAAAGTTGGTTGAGTATCCCAATATCCAGTATCTTTATCTTATCTTTTACCTGCCTCCTTTAAATCATGTAAATACAAGCTATATATAAACGTAATTACATGTAAAATATGTTAAAATTTCTGAATATCCAAACCAAACCTTCGTAACCCAATGCACCCATGCTGATGATATGTATAACTAAGAACTTTTTAAAAAGTCAATTAAAAATGATAAATGTTTTTAAAAGTTTCTGTAGTTCCTTTAGTTCCTACAGTTCCTATAGTTCCTATAGTTCCTATAGTTCCTATAGTTCCTATAGTTCCAATAGTTCCAATAGTTCCTATAATAGTTTATAGTTCCTATAGTTCCTATAGTTCCTATAGTTCCTATAGTTCCAATAGTTCCAATAGTTCCTATAATAGTTTATAGTTCCTATAGTTCCTATAGTTCCTCTAATTCCGATAGTTCCAATAGTTTTTTAGTTCCTTTAGTTTCTATAGTTCCTATAGTTCCTCTAGTTCCTATAGTTCCAATAGTTTATATAGTTCCTATAGTTCCTATAGTTGACTAAGTTTGTGAGCATGATGTGAGGATTTGCTGAATCTTGGATAATTGGAGAAAACTTCTTAACGACTGACCGCGTGGCAAAGAGGAATATATCAGAGAATCCTGGATTTAGAATCACATTAATTGTTTTTTTTATCATAATCACAGAGAGAACTTCCACGAAGGCAATAATTTTTTAAAGAAAATCTAAAAAACAAGGTTTTTAAACTAGAGGACAAATTCCAGGAAACAGCAGAAAAATCGAAATTCCGGAAAAGATTTTGGAAAGTCTAACCTCATCCAGATCTGAACATAACATTTGAATACTTTTTTGGAGTTTGTTCATTCCAAGAAAAGTCTTTTCGTCTTCAAAGGAATTTATCTTTCCGTGTTTGTTATTTCAGAAATTAGTTTTCGCCCGAAAGTTGTAAATATGCATTGTGAATGCCCCAGAATTACCCATAACATATGACCACTTGGAAAATAGAAAGAATAGAGTCAAAATTGAGAGAGAGAAGTTTTGTATTTTTTCTCTCTCGCAAAAAAGATATATGGAAAAAAGGAAAGTTTGTGTTCGAAGACGTAAAGGATATTTAAAACAGTTCGAAAAGTTCTACTGACTTTATTCAGTGTAAAATTAATTCTTAATCTTAGCTCTAAATTTGTAGAATTGTAAAGGAATTAAGTCTTTGTTACAATTTTCAAATTTTCTTTTCCCTTTATCTTTGCAGTCTGATGGTAAAAACTTTTGACATTTCAAACTCAGACGTTATGATCTTGACAGATGTAATAGTTTGAAATAGATAAGGGCTACGGCATTGGGTTGCAAAGATATAGAGATGATAAAATCAGAGCTTGTGGTAAAAACTCATTTATTCTGTTTTTAGATTTAATAAAAACAGAACAAAATTTATATTTGATGTTCTCTCAGTAAAAACTTTGATAAACTCAAAATATTCCAAAATAAATCCAATTCTATCTGAATACTGGAAAATGTTAGATATTATTCTATTTTCCTAGTCTCTTTAAAGGGACTAAGCGCCTCTTTAAATGGACTAAGAGCCTCTTTAAAGGGACTATAAGCACCTCTTTAAAGGGACTAAGCGCCTTTTTAAAGGGACTAAGCGACTCTTTAAAGGGACTAAGCACCTCTGTAAAGGGACTAAGCGCCTCTTTAAAGGGACTAAGCGCCTCTTTAAAGGGACTATAAGCACCTCTTAAAAGGGACTAAGCATAATTTTAAGTGACCCTCTATGCAAAGGTGGCACTGTCCGATTTACAATGGTACCTTTGAATGCTTTGTCTGATTAAGCATGAATTAGATATCAATGTTTTTGTTTCTTTAAAATGTTTATTTTCATTTGTGGTTTCTCTTCGAAAGTGACCTCGCATTTCTTGTTTCTAAAACAACAATGGAGAAACTCACAGAAATAAATACTTTTCGAGTCAGAATAACGAAGGTATCTTCCACATTTTTGATCAGATTAAGGTTGTAAGGGTATCATTGTAGATTAGGGTATCGTTGTAGATTGGGCATTGCCATCTTTTCAAGGAGGGTTACTTGAACTCACGCTTACTGTCCCTCTAAGGACTNGGATTTCTTTGCAAACTTAAAGAGACTGCAGTAGTCGTAATTTCAAGCAATTATTAATTTAAAGAGTGTCCTGTCCGATTCACAAGCTTTGTCTGATCAACAATGAATGAGATATCCAAGTTTAATATATTTTGCTGCAGAGTAGGAAATGATCAGAACTAATCACTTTAAGTTTAGAAAAAGGAAGATATCTTTCACATTTGAACACACGTTGTAAATGGAGCATGCAACTTTAAACTGGAGGGTCACTTGAATTTAGAATTACATTTCTCCTTTTAGAGTTTTTTTTTTTCTTTTAAAACTTTCTAAGATGAAATTTATTGAATAAGAGTGGAGAAGTATAATTATGCTGGTAGGTACGATGCACAAAGGTTTTAAAAGGCAAAGCAGGGGGTTGCGAAACTTTGAATTATTCACTAAATAATTAAAGTATTCACATAAATGTTTTCACCAAACCTTCCTAATTAAGGGGGGGGGGGGGGGTGAGTTTGTGTGGATAAAAAGAGAAGAATAAATTATGTTAGTGCACCATTATAGAAGTCTGCAGTAGAATACTATACTAGAATATTATTCAACAATCTACATATTTGAAATAAAATAGTATTTTATACAATTTCACCAGTTTTCATACACAGTACGCAGTACACAGTACACAGTACATTTCTAATTTCTATATTAATACAATATATGTTTTATTCCTTTACAATTCTAGCTAAAGAGTGCTCGACGTTGCCTAGGTTTATATTATTGTTTAAAGACATACATGGTTTCCCAAAAAAACATGGGAATTCAGTGACGAATTTGATATCGTCTTTGTTATGAATTAGCATTGTACTACATAATTTCAAAAGCTATAAATTATTATGTCTGCTAGAGTTTATTTTATGAAAAGGGTGTGTCTATAATGTCTCCGCAATATGACCAGTGAAGACGGACAAGTTGACTCTGTTTGTATACTGCAATTTTCATGTTTTACTAAGTACAACTGTATGCAGTCAAAACATAAACAAACAAAATGTGAACATTGTAGACGAAATTCTTATAGATTACAGCTTTCTCAGTAGGTATCACTATACTAAATCAAAGAATTATTTAAAAAGACAATATCAAATTCGTCACTGAATTCCTATGTTTTTGGGACACCCTGTAGTTACCCGTGCTTGGTACCAAATCATGATTTCCCCTCGGAATTAAAAACAATCCAATTTTGTTAGCCTTATAGATTCCCCTAAAAAGCAGCCAATTTGGTTCAGCTATTTGTCCAGCTATTTGTCCAGCTATTTGTCCAGCTATTTGTCCAGCTATTTGTCCAGCTATTTGTGCAGCTATGCTTACATATAATTAATATGTGAGCGAAGAAATTTGATATATAGATATCTAATATAGTTTTCTAATCCTTATTATTCGATTTTACTTTTTAGATTCTTAAACAGCAAGTTTATTTTCTTTTATTATCTACATTGTTTATTCTTATACGCTATCAACAAATTTTAGTTTTTATATAAAGTAGATACATTTTGATTTGTAGTCTTAATTTTAAATTGGTATTCAATTTTTTTCTTATTTTATTTTTGCAGCTCTTTTGAATCAAATGATTCAAGGACAATATTTTTGACGTTCATTTAAACCTTGTTAAAATTTTATAATAGTTTGTTATAAATAATTCTCGTCCTAATTATTTACCTGAAAAAAAACGTTATATCAAATACATATTTTATCGTTCTTGTATTGCAAATTGTATTCTATATTATTCAACAAAATTTCTAATGAGACAGATAACGTATAGAAATCTAAAAAAAAAGCTGTAAGAATTTTATTGTTTTCAGTTACTGTTGCAGCCATATTATTAAAATCTAGTCTATACTTACAAAATGTCCGACACAAATCTGGAAAATTTAAAAGTGCAAACACGATCCACATACAGGGTTATTCACTGCGTGTAAGACTTTAGAATTTATTCAGTCTTTTTTCTTGCATGCTTGGTCCCTTCAGTAGTAAACTTGTTTCTCTCTTTCGGTGGTAGGCGATTGTAGCAATACAATGAAGACGACTTTTGATTTAAGTTTTAATTGTTAACAAGCTTTTTTCGAATAACAAGTTTACAAGCAGTTAAAGAGAACCTTTTTTTCTTTACAGTTTCTCTTTGATTTCATGCAATTTAAAAGCATGCATGATATAAATCAAAATTAAAATCGAAACTCGTCTTCATTATATTAATAAAATCGCCTAACACCGTAGTAAAGTCATTTAATATATTAATTAAAGATAATATACAAGGCAGAAGACCAAATTAAACTTTCAGAAGGTCATATTTAATGTGTTTTTGGTCGTTATTATAGTCTCATTCTCTGTGGGTAACCCTGTGCCAAGTTCACAAAGATCCAGACTGCTAAGAAAAATTGCATCAATTTCAAGAAATTTGTCGACTTTGAAGTGTCGCAACGCCTTAACCTTTCATTTTGCCTTTCGAACTCAGTAATACAATTTTTGAATAAAAGTACTTCTTGTTGCAACTCAGCTTTATTTTTTGAGAAGTAGTTGGCTAAATTCTCATCGATTTTTGCGTAAGAGCTTTCAACCTTTAGATCCATGTGAGTATCACCACCATATTCAATTATTCACCAAGTTAAACCAAAACAAAAATCAATATTCAAGACTATTCCAACCAACCATTAAAATACTCACTTTTTCAGAAGGTTTAACGTTTGCTTTTGTTCCTCTATTTTTCGAACCCGTTCCGAAGATTCTGCTTTCATTTATACAAGTAAATTGAACACAATACGTTATTGGCAAACCAGGATGTATTGTAAGTGTGCCAATGAGGCAAGAACTGTTTTCATTAAAAATCTCATCAAACTATCGTTTAATTAAACCAAGGACCAGCAGTCCAAAATATTTTGATAAATAAAGCTAGTTCTTTAGCCTAAATACAGTTATAAAGCAAATTAAACAAATAGAAAAATATTTCTTATTTCTGTTTCGTCCTTTATGTTGAGCTATACGTTTTAAATGTTAAAGAATAGAAGTCCTACAACAGTGAGAACCAGAAAACAATGGAAGAGAAAGACGACATAATTACAATACTTTAGTGTATCTCATGTTGTTTACAAAGCAGCTACTTTTACCAGACACTTATTAAATCACGTATTCAGTGCAATCGGTCCGCTTACACTAAAAAATTGTTAAACTCATGTTTATTGGACTTTTTTGATCTGAAAGTCGTCTTCCTATTTCAGAGTTTTCTGGTTATCACTGTAGTTCTTTTTCTTTTACGGATTTTATTTAAAGGAAAGCTTCTTTTTGAAAATCAATAAACTCTTATTTAAGAGAGAAGGTTCAAAAGTTTGTTTTAATAAATAGCATATATCAGTAAACGCAGCTGGCTTCCATGCTCCACAATTAGCATGATGTGATATTTTTTCATTATCAATTTTCTAAGGCTTTTTAAATATGCAAATATAGTGGTTTATATTTCAAATGGTTTTAAATTACGCACCTGTCGACGTCGTCTGACAGTTCTAATCCTCGACGTTACTTTATATGTAAAAAAATCTTTTAAAAAAAGTTAAAATTTTAAAAACTAAAGTGATATGGAAAGAACTGAAAGGGACGGGAATCAATCCATCTCTCAGTCTAGGACTGGGCAGTTTTTTCCCCCTAGTCGCTCCGTTCCGTTTTTTCCCCTAGCCACTCCGTTTCGTTTTTTTCCCCCAGCCGCTCCGTTTCGTTTTTTTATTTTCACTAACGGCTCCGTTTCGGTTTTTTCAACCGTAAATTTGTTTCTCCAAAAACGGCTGTTACCGTTTGTTAACGATTTAAACTTTCGTTACCGGACTCTTCTGTTAATATTTAAAAACCTCCATTTCTTTAACGGAACTTTGCCTAGCACTATCTCTTTCCCTTTCTATCCATCATACAGTGAAATCCTTAATAACGAATACATCGGAATAATTTATCAAATGTCGTCTAGACAATTTTTCAATGACAGTTATACTATATTAGGTAAATTTTAGTATTTGCGAAAATAATTAAATAGCCATGAATATGCGGGAACAGTTTTAAAGAGTTCCATATAATCATTTAATTAAAAAACTAAATAGCTGCAACATTCCATTATCAGAAAGTGAATAATACGACATTTGGTGAATTCTTTCGATGTATTCGTTATTAAGGGGTTTCTATGTAGGTATTTCCTCCTAATTTACCTGGATAAAATGTATAAACATTTCTAGGTCTTGAATCTGTGTTTGTAGCTGGGATACAAGCTGACTCTTCATCCTAAATCAATATAATTAAAGGGATTGTTTCCTTATTTGAAAATTAAACAGAGGTACCATTTATACCATCTATATATAATCTCTGTTTGTCTGTTCGATCATAACTCATGAACCCCTTGACTGATTTGCCTCAAACTTTTACTGTAAAACTCGAGAACCACGGAAATGTTCTAAGCATGGTTTTGAAATTCTAAGTTATCTGAGTTTTCTTTTATAGTGAAAAATGGCTAAAATCGTAATTTACGACAAAGAGCGGGTGAACGGCAACGCCATGGGTTCTCCACTTAGTCTTTGATAATGGTGCTTGTCTCAGTCTTGCCACAAACTCTTATTTTCTTATCTCTATATCTTTACAACCTGATGGTGTTGACCTTTGATATTTCAAACTTAGAGTATATGATTTAACAAAATTCACAGTTTGAAATATAAAAGGTCTCCAACATTGGGGTACAAAAATATAGGGATTAGAAAATCTTAGTTTGTAGGAAAAACTATTTTTTTTTATAAAATAATAGATCTAAATGCAAGATTAACCTATTATCTAAAAACTCCATTTACGGCAACAAAAAATATCATTCTGCATTCAAAGGAAAAAGTGCAAAATCTCTATAATAGGGTTTTTATATGAAAAATTGAGGATACCGACTCCCTGCATGCAGCTGTATATTTAGAATCATTTCAAGATTTAAAAGTTAATTCTTCCAGAACATTTATTTTTTAACAACTGTCAAGCATTATTCCTTGAAATGTCACACTTATGGAAAATAAATCCAAAATGATTTCCCTCCAGTTTGAGTTTTAGGAATTATTTTTACGGAAACAAACTTTAACGACGACATTTAGAGCAATACTGATTTTTATTTCGTAGTTTGTATTATGAAATAAAAACACTTGTGGTTTAATATTCATACAACTTAACTGTGCATAAACTACTGCAATTAACGACGACTTTTAGAGCAATACTGATTTTATTTCGTAGTTTGTATTATGAAATAAAAACACTTATGGTTTAATATTCATACGACTTAACTGTGCATAAACTACTGCAATTACCACCTCCCCCTGTATTTTAATGAATAATAAATATTATATACCATTAACTTAATGTGCATTTTATAGTTTATACCATAGGAGTTCATGGTTTAAAGAAAAGAAATTCCATTTTGTATAGAGAGAAAGGGACTGTTAATGTGGAGAAAAATCGATTATCGAGAGAAAGGGGGCGGGTGGAAATAAACTACCCACAAACTTGTATCCGCCTCATAATATAATATATTCAATATACATGTCGTCTTCCTTCACAATTTCAAGATTTCTGACTGTATAATTACTTTACTTTCCTATAAAAGCATTTTAGTCTCCAAATTTGTCCAGATTTTTATCTTTAGTGGAGAAACGATCAAAAACAGCGGAATCATTTTCGTCATCGCTTTTCTTTTGGTGAGAAATATCACCAAGGATGGTTTATTATAGTTAGCAATCATGCTATATTTGAAAATATTTACAGAGATTTATGGGATTTGACCGTAAACAACTAGTTTACTCAATATTTTATGTGGAATTATTTAGACGACATTGCGATCAATTGAACGGGAAATGTCGTCTCTTTAGCCATGGTCGGTAAAAATCCTCATATGACGTAACCATAGAGAATAGAATATATATTAGAGGGGAATTTACTAGAAAAAGTGCAAAACGGCCATTTTGTTGTACTGTTTCCATACTGCAGGTGTACTTCACATATTTATGCTATATAACCTTTTGGGGGCCCTGGAATATCATTTTAAAGAAAATCTAAAATTAATGTTAAAAGAAAACCAAATTATGAAATAGACTGGTTTCATAATTGACCAATGATCATTTCACATAGACTCTATGCCTTTCACTTTACAAACGATGATTTTCTGTTATAACTATAAATCAAATGATTTTTTTTATTCACCTATAATTCATTATAAAGTTTATTTAACAGCTTTAAATATTCAAAATTAAAATGAATAGTCTAGGGAACATACTGTATTAATGTACTCTACTGCATATTATTTGTGAACATTTACATGATTTGTACACTTTGAACTCCCTTTCAGGCTGAAAGGGACTGAAAAAATTCATACCGAGAGATTCTTTAAATTCCCCTCTAATATATATTCTATTCTCTATGGACGTAACTGAGTATTGGCGGAAGTTGAAGTGACAAGTGAGAGGGGGGAGAGTATTTTCTCCACTTGTCAGCTGCAGAAAGAGGAGAAAATCCTGCTCCCCCTCCTACCCGCAACGTATAAATTTCTTAGAAAAACATTTTACGAAAATTAAATTTATGTTTGAAAAAATGCAATAAACAAAAAAGAAGAGAATAATATTGTGAATTGTTATTGTAGTCTATAGTTAAACGTTGCTGTACTTTCAAGTAATCTTGGCCGTTCAAAGAGGATTATTTCTGATTTTCAACATTGCACTTAAAATATTTTCCTCCCATTGTTTCTGCAGGCAAAATGGGCAAGTCACTTTGTAGAGAAGCCACAATTGAAAATAATTAATTTTAAAAGATTAACATGCATATCTCATTCATTCTTGATCAGACAAAGCTGTTAATGGTATCGTTGTGATTCAGACATGCTAATTTATAAATTTTGAACACTTTCCTTTTATAGGGCTACTTGAAATTACATTGACAATCCCTTCCAAGGTTTAGGAAAAGTGCCAAAAGTTAAATTAATTGGAATCTCTAACTTCCAAGTTCTTATTTACTTCCCAATATACAAGTTAAATACTATTTCCTTCTTCATTTTACAACAAAAGTTAATCTAGAGATGGAACAAGAAAAGGGGAGATCAAAAAAACTTTCACATTTTTTTAAACAATCTAAAATATCCATTTTTTAAAATTTAAACATAAGAATTTATCTTGGCTTAATTAAACCTAGCTGAAAACATTTAAAAGATTTGTTTCTGAAAAAAAATTATTCGTTGGAATTATATTAATTATTGTTTTTCACGTTGAGAAATGTTGGAGAATTCTAGAATATATCTTATTAATTAGTTTTTTTTAATTGAGTTCTTTCTTTGTTATATTTCAAAGAGAATACACTGCAACCTATTTCTGTAGTACAATTTTATACACACCTTTTTTGATATAAAAATATAATTATAAAAGATATAATTTTTTTATATTTTTTTGTTTGTTTCATGTTTCTTACAATACCGTAGTCAACGTTTATATCAATAGAATGAAGACGACGTTTCTATTAAAGTTTTGATTTCTATACAAGCTTTTTACAAATTACAAGTTTACAAGTAACGAAGAGAAGCTTTTAATCGGCAGCTTCTTTTTGTTTTTACGATTGAAAGAAATAGGTTAGTGTAAAATATAGGGCCTAAATTGTGGGGAGGGGGAAACCGCGGGCGACTCACCCCCCCCCCCCACGCCAACTTTAGGATCAGATTCTTTCTTTCAATATATCAATTATAAGCTAATACTGGGATTCTTAGCTCAAATTATTTAAGAGTTTATTTAATAATTTGCTGGGGGAAAAAAATGATAGAATAATTAGTTTTGAAGAAGAAAAAATGCTCATAACACTTATCTATGTAAGCTATCAAACTCAAGCTAGACAGACTATGTTTGATTTTTATGTTTAATTTAGTAAAATTAGACAAGAAAAGTTTTACTATCTTACAAAAAGATATTGATAAAAAATCAACGTTTAAATCACATTATTTTCGACAGTACTAACTACTAACCTTAGAGGATTAACAAACTGACAAAGTTTTGAGTCAACTTCGGCTTTTAATTCATCTTCGGAGAGACGGGCAATATCGGATACCTAAACATAGTAAATAGTATGTACATAATACATATACTGAAGTAGTAAAATAAGATATATAGTAGACATAAGATATAAGGTAATAGATTGTAGATAGAATTAGAAGATTATAGTAGATAGTAGATAGTAGATAGTAGGTAGTACATAGTAGATAGAAGTTAGTAGAAAGTAGGTAGTAGATTGTAGATAGTAGATATAATTAGATAATTAATAGATAGATAAAAAAGCCTAGTTTGTATAATGTAATAAGAATATAATATAAAAAAGGAGAATATGAAGACGACATCATAGCACTTTCTCCACCGGCACTAAAATGCTGGGTTCAGTAGCTCAATAACAGGTATCAGAAAAAAAGTTGGTGCAGAATTAGACAAATGGACAGCCCTTCACAAAGTTTGAGTGAGATAACTTGAACAAAATGGCTCATGTCATTATAATGGTAGTTTTTGAAGGTGCTACAATGCAAATAGTTTTACTATTAACTTCTAAAATCACTTATTAAATGAAAGGGGTCTGTTTACACTGTTCATTGGACTATTCTAACTTGAGTCTGAATGTCGTCTTGCTATTCCAGAATTTTCTGGTTCTTGTAGAAGATTGTAAGAATTAGTAAAAACCATGGTTGTATGTAAGGTTGGTTACTCTCAATGCGCTAGAATGTACGGAAAATGTCGTCTTCAAAGATAAATAGTTTAAAACTTCAAATGACGTCACTGATTATAGAGGCGAGAGTGACGTCATATGAGGTTTGTATCTATCTATCTTAGGAGACGACATTTTCCGTACATTGGAGCGCATTGAGAGTAACCAACCTTATATACAACCTTATATACAACCTTATATAAAACCTCATATACAACCTAATATACAACCTTATATACAACCTTATATACAACCTTGTATACAACCTTATATACAACCTTACATACAACCTTATATACAACCTTATATACAACCTTATATACAACCTTATATACAACCTTAGTAAAAAATAAACTTACATCTATATTTAATCTTTCCTTGAGTTGTTCCAACACTACAGATTGTCTTTGTAGAACTAGGGAGGAAGGAAGGGTGGCTTCTCCAGCCTATAAATAAAACATTTTTAAACATTTTAATCACAATCAAAATAATCGACTTATTTCTTAACGGCCCATTATGCGTTAACTCTCTTTAAAAGTAACATGAAAATATATATATAATATCTATAAAACAATCCTTAAAGGATTTTAGTCTTACCCAAATTTTCTAATCCCAATTATTTGGGGCCCTGATGGTGTACAATGAACATCTTTGATTAAATAATAGTTTGAAATATCTAAGATCTAAAACGACTTTCAATTGCAAAAATCAAGGGATTAGAAAATCATAGTGAGTGGCAAAGACTCAATTCCTTTTACATTATGTTGGCAATTCCTTTACAATAAAATTAAATCTAATAAACCTCTTTCAAATGAATTTATTTTGTCCTTCTGATTTACAAAAAATCTGTCTTAATGTAAACCCCACACCTCATAATGGTCAAAAAAACGTTGTTCGTTCAACAAACGTAAAATGAAAGACATTACAAACATGCATTTTTAATTTTTCTTTTAGATTAAATATTTGATTATGACCGATATATCTCCTGTAAATTTATTTATTTCTGTAAATTTTTTTATTTATTCAAATATCTATAAAAAACAATGCAGCCACAAATTTGAACTTGTTTTTTTATCTAATAGAAAAGCAGAAAAATTTATCTTACTAGGCTTTTAGGGCGCTTCGCGACCATCTTCTATTTAAATTGTGAACATGCTCTTTTTGTTTACATTTTGAAACAAAGCAGAACATTTTTTTTAATTCGCGGATTTTCAAGAATTTAATTTTTTTTACAAAATTAAAAACCTTCATAACACTTTTTTTTTTAAATTTTATCATTCGTAAATCTTCCCTGTGGTCACGTGATGTCCCACAAAAAATTTGGGCCCGATCGGTTAAATTTATTTATTTCTGTAAATTTTTTTATTTATTCAAATATCTATAAAAAACAATGCAGCCACAAATTTGAACTTGTCTTTTTATCTAATAGAAAAGCAGAGAAATTTATCTTACTAGGCTTTTAGGCGCTTCGCGACCATCTTCTATTTAAATTGTGAACATGTTCTTTTTGTTTACATATTGAAACAAAGAAGAATTTTTTTTTTTATTCGCGGATTTTCAACAATTTAATTTTGTTTACAAAATTAAAATCCTTTATAACACTTTTTTTATAAATTTTATCATTCGTAAAATCTTCCCTGTGGTCACGTGATGTCCCACAAAAAATTTGGGCCCGATCGGTTCAGCCGTTTTGACGTTTATTGGATACAAACAAACAAACAGACACCAAGACAAACAAACAGACAGACAAGCCAAATTTATATATAGATTGTGGTCGTGACTAAAATAACTTTTAATGTCGTAATTATGATAAAATTTGGAGAAATTTTCAATCATGGAGCGGAATTAATCTGTTGCAGTACGGCGATAGGGCCGAGCCGGTACAAATTCTTTAGCGCAATCCCCATTCCTGACTAACCAAGATTGTATGCTTGTACAACATTTTATAAAAAATACCTGGTAGGCATAACTTTCTAGTTCTTCTAGTTTAACTTTCAAGGTTGATATTGCATCTGCCTCAATCCGCCGTTGGTCTTCTAGTATCCGCCCCTGATCTGTTCTGCTCCGCCTTTCTTCACTCTGAGAACTTTCTTTCTCCGGTTCCTGGGATTTTTAAAATGAAGATGATAATGAAAATTCGAATAATTATACTATTAAAAATATAATAATAATAGTTTTAAATATTGATTATGAAAGTAGTATAGATCAATATGGCGCCCAATATGGCGCCCAATATGGCGCCCAATATGGCGCCCAATAAAGCACACGCACTTCAGAAGACTCTCCGGGCCGGACTAAGAAACCTTTAAATTCTCCTCTTACAAGCCTATAAAGTTGACTAAGGAATTATTTAATACTGTCAACTCCATTTATACAGGCAAACAATTTATGGACTACAATATACAATTAAAGGAATAGTGGATGAATATATAAGACTGCTGTAGACTATAGGGGACTATATATATAATTCAATTCCCCCCC